TGCGAAGAATTCAATTTTATTGAAGTACTCTCTGAGACAGTTGCATGAAGTGTGAAATCGGTTTGCATTCGCAGCTTACAACCAGCAAACAGCATTTGAATCCTCTGCTCAAAAGGTTCGCCATTCTACAAGTGCTCTGGTTAATTCATTTTTGTTGTTCTTCTCACCAGTTTATTTGCACGGTGATAATTTCGGGTGGACCTTGAAATCGACTGCCGTAACTGGAGAAGAGATTTCTTCTTTTGGAAAGAATTATTGTCGTCTGTATCTAGGCAAGACAGGTAATTCTAACTTTAAAATGCTCCAATTATACTCTTCAAATTCGTCTCTCCGGGATTTTGCATTGAATTCTAGATCAAAGCAGCAAGTTCAAACTTTTTAAGGGATGAAACCTGTTCTCTTCAGAGTATCTTTTGGCCCATTGTTGTTCTTTCAGTCTCCTGTTAAATTGCGAGGATCCCAGCTTGCGTCAAGGTAACATCATTCGTAGAGTTTCTTTATACAGAGCATATCCATGAGCAGCATCATGCGAAAGTACAAGACACCAAATTGCATGGATCCCTTGTTTTATCTTCCAAGTTTTGTAGAGTGTTATATTCACACCTTCGGGAATGTCCAAATTTGGAAAGCATTGTGAAGAGTTATGTTGATTGTTTAATCAGTTAAGTGGGTGGGTGGCCCCAAGCCCAAATGCCTACCCCCTCCAGAAATGCCTCCGAATTTTAGTGTAAGTGGCATCCGTAGCAGCTGCGTTGGAAGTGAATTCCAGGCCGAAGTGAACAAATGCCACAAGGAGCAGTTTGGAAGTACGCTGCTGTTGGTCGGTCCGAACTTAGAAATAGTTCCTCTGGTACTTTGTCAACAAAATTCTGAAGCTCGGGAAATCTTCCTGGATGCTTTAGTATGCCTTGAAAATGAGCATGCGATTGTTGAAAGTAATAACACACCAGAATATTGTTGTACCTCGGAAATCATTACAGATTTTTAGTTTCTGTGTTTCTATTTTTGTGATAATTGCTGGCCGTACCACAATATTAGGCTGAGTCTGTTGTAATTTTTCTTGCATGATTGCAGGCACATAGAGTACACCAGATCTAAACCACAGACAAAAATAACTTAATGGCTTGCAAATTCTCGTTTTAATCGGGGATGTCATTGAAAAGTCCCAAAACATAAAATTCGTCAACACCATGAACAACAACGTTTCCACGTTCCACGGTGTCATTGACTCTTCAGCTTCATTTTGACTCAAAACCGAAACTCGCACAGAACCACCCAGCCACGAAATCCGCCGAGATTTATGCAGCCAATTCAGGGATAACGAGGAAAGTCAAGACCTAATTTGCCCACCGACATCTTGGAATGCATGGAAGGCTTCTTTTTCTCCTCACGCCTTCACACCAGCACCAGTGCTCTGCATAATGCCGAATTCTCGCTGTGGAGCCCATCGTGAGAACTCAAACCACTCGCATTGCCTTCCACCATCATTGCTGCTGCTACTGCTCTTCCACACTGTCGACTTCAAGCCCTCGCTAACACGTTCAGCTAAATCCTTTCCTCCCTCCCTCGCAGAAGCCTCCAAGTGCGGCAATTCTGAGCTTCACGACTCTCAAAGCTAATCCTAGAATCCAGCAAACACGAGCCCAGGTATGTGAGAACGAAAATTAGGGTGCAGATGACCTAATTCTGAAGACCACGTATGCCAGGCGTGCCACGTCACGGATATCCAGCTCAGCTATTTCTGTCCAATCAGATGTTGATGCCTGGCAAAGTTTCGAAGCTACGGAAAAGGAAAGAAAAAAATTGACACCTGGACCGCCTGGAAGAACGTTCCCACGCGAAACGGCCCTTGATAGCCAAGTGGCTGTGAAGCCTTTGGACTGGTTCATACTCTTGTTCCCTCTTTGGGGAACGTGGGGAATTTTGCGAACCAAAGGGTGGGGAAATCCAAACTGCGGATTGGGAACGTGTTCCCCGTTTTCGTTCCATTCTTCGGTCAACTTTTGGGGGGTCCCAATGTACTTCAAATTTGTTTATTATTGTCTTGTAACCTACACATTACTGTATGTTTCCACAAACTTTGTAAACAATGAAATGAGTATATATATATATATATATTAGTGTTTTAAAAAATGTACAACGAAATTCCATCTTCTTGAGAGTGAATTTGAAATGAAAAGCATGAAACTTATGCAAGGAGATCATAGGTTTTGAATCATTTGTGAGTTAGAATCGTTATTTGGTAAATTGTAGATGAGTTTCGTTGTCATTTTTTTTGTAAAAAATACTTTTTTGTTTTTTGTTTTGTTTTTTTTTTCCTGATATAATATCATTGAGTCTTGTTTGATATATTCAATGATACACTATCAACTTTGGTCAATCTTTTTGAATATTCAACAATACAAAAAAGATTGACAGTGGATCTTGAACCCTACTGTTAGAAGGAAAAAAAAAAAAAAAAAAAAAGAAAAAAGAGGGGGGGGGGTAAACATATTATAATTTATATGCTGCCACTTAAGAGGAACATGACATACTAGTGATGTGCTTGAATCATGATGATATGATAATTGGATGCATAAGAAACCCAATTAGAGGTAAAGAATTTTATGGACCCTGTTTTCTAAGGAACATTTAAAAGAATACAAGAAAAATCACTTTTTAAGAAAATAATTGAAATGAACCCAATTAGCGGGGAAGTGTGAGTGGAATTTACCTAAAACTGCTCTTGAATGTGTTTAAAGCATGTTTCAAGTGCACCAACATGTTTTTACAACTAAATTCTCAGAAAAAATTTAACATAGAAGAAAGACTGATCATACAGAGTCACCATACAGAGTCACCAAGCGTGTGTGTGTGTGTATATATATATATATATATATCTAGAGGTGTTGTTTGTGTTAATATTAATAGTTTGTTCCTCACAAGCATTTGCTGATTGATGGCAAGTATTATGTTAGGCTATTAATAATTAAAACCTTGAACATGTAGTTAAACATAGCTTGTTTAAGAATTATATATATATATATATATATATATAGACACACACATACTGTAGCCCTAATTTAATTAATAAAAAATACCATAAATTCTTAATAATATCATGTTTCATTGACTTGTTGTACTGGATTTGTTAAAAACATTTGACATATCAAACTGGATTTTTTTTTGAAGATTTCAATTCTTTTTAAAGTGATTTCATTATTTCAAGTCAACAGAACGACTCATCTACTAATATTTCAAAATAATCTTCAGTATGATTATGATGAGCAACACCAAAACTGTGAAAGAAGATCAATTGTCCAATGTAAGATCAAAACTGATTTTGATATTGAATAAAAACAAATGCATAGGGTAATCATGGTTATTTCATATGAAAATTATGTAATGAAATAATGAAGTGATTTTTTAAAAAAATACTATATCAAAATCTAAAAAATAAAACAAACAACTCATAAATATCTCACAGATATCTTATAGAATCAATTTTAATATTTCACTCTTGTCAATATTTTCCCAAATCATGCTTCAATAATTTTGTTGTGAAAATCTAACATAATTATACTTTTTACTTTGTTTATTTAAAAAGGAAAACGTGAATTCGGCATAGACAAAATTTTGACTATGATTTTCATCAGGTTCACTCTTATTGGAAGTCAACCCTCTACAAAAAAAAACAAAAAAAAAACAAAAAAAAACAAAACAAAAAAAGAAGAAGATAAAGTAAATAATAGGAAATAAAAAGTAAAAAAGCAAAAGTATAATTTCTTTTTGGTAAGACCCCATATTATTATTGGAAAACAGTCCATGAACACCTTCTCCTTTCAAATCCATTCCAAGTCACACAAACTGCAAGGGCTCTGCTGACTTTTGCTTTTTCAGTCTTACTGCCTTTCCTAGAACTTGTGTTGAGGTTTAGACGTCTAAGGTTATTGTTCTTTTCATCACCTTTTTTATTCTTATTTTAACAATTTGTTTATAAATAGATATATGCATATATATATATATATATTCAATAAGAAGATGAGCTTGAAAATGATATGCATGTTTGAAGAATGGGTTTAAGAATGTGCAATGGAATGGCTCAAAAAAGTTAAGATAGTAAGTCACTTTTTATGATTCATTAACAAAAGAAAAAGACGATGTTATAGCTACCCACTTTGTACATACATGAACTTTTCTAGTACTTTTATGAGTACAAAAACATTTTTTTAGGCATATCTACCTTTTAATTTAACCCATTTAAAGGTTTTAAAATTATTTTTTAATTATGCATAGAATAACAAAGAGGAATTAAAGTAATGATGAAGTTTCATAATTTTTATATACACTTTTTAGATAATATTTACAAATTTTGATTCTTTTCATTAAAAAATTCTATACATAACATAGTTTTGAGTTTTGATTTCATATATATATATATATATATATATGTACACACACATACATTATGCTTTATTTTAATGTTACCTTGTGAAGGATAATCACGCACAATTTTATTTGCAAATAGGGTAGCTTCATTTATCCGACACAGTTTTATTTTACAATCCAACATTTGCCCCTCGATTACACATTCAAATAATATTTATGTCATTATTATTTTTAATATATATATATATATATATATATATAAAACCTTTGATTTGCTTCAACTTTGTAAAATTCATTCAATCATACATAAACCATTCAACAACAAAAAGAGAACAAAAAAGAAAAAAGGAGCAAAAAAATAGACACAATCAACAGAATGTGTTTAATGCTCATTATGTACCGAACTGTAGCTCGCATCTAAAAGTTTGAGAAGCTCGTCAAAGTCAAATATATATTCACACACACACATACCCCCACACCCCAAATATTATATTAAGAGAACATACACACAATCCAAGGAAACACTATATTAAGGACTATATAAAAACATACAGGCCGTTCAGCCTCTTATAATCCGACGGATCGAATCTGGATCACGACGGATCGCTATTGAAGAAGAGGAAGGGCGGGGGCGGGGGCTGGTGAGCGAGTGCAATAACGGTAGCGGCCGCGCGGGACACGATCGACGTCCATCGCCCCCCCCTCCACGACTTCGACGACTTGATAATGGATCGTTCGTTCATCCCCGTCGTCGTTGTCGTAGTGTTCGTCGTGTTTGATTTGTTTGTCTGCGGAGTTACGTCGTGGATGCGTGTGCAGCATGAAGGTCCCACTGCGATGCGAGCGAAGTACTGCAGGGAGGGAGGGAGGCAGATTTAAGGAGAGAATTGGGTCAGTGCCCTTTGTTGGCCGGATTTTAGTGGGATGGGCGCTCATCTGGAGATAGAAAAAGTGCGACGGGGGCCGAAGTGGGGCCGTATACGGTCAACTGTGGACAGAGCAGAGAGCGAGAGAGCGAGCTTGAGAGCCGGTGAAGGAGAAAAGTAAGACGACGACTCAGGGAGGGAGGGTGCGCATGTAGTAGAGAGGAAGGAAGAAGGAAGAAGAAGGGGGAGATGTTTGATTGTGTACTTGGTTGGGTGGGACTAAGTTTGAGGTTGAGGTTGCTTTCATGAGTGTGTGTGCCGTCGTAGAGAGTCGCAATTGGGTGCTTGATCATCGGGGGGAGGACGACGACGACAAGAGGATTGATTCGTGGGACCGATTTTGAACCATGTTGCGGAGACATTGTGGGTCGGACTTGTGTTGGGGTGGTATCGGTTTCTGTGCCGCGGACCTACGAGGTTGTGTTGCTATGGGTGTGTTTGTTAGCAACCCATGCGTTGAAGGAGGTCCGCATTGAAGGCCCCGTTTGTTGGGTGGAGCTTGGTGAGTTTCTTGTGCAGGCTGGAGTGCGCAATTGGCCTGTGACTTGTAGGAGAACAGTGCTGCTTCGTTTGGGGTCTCGCATTTGAGAGTTGGTGAAGAGGGCGATTGGATTGTGGAGTTTGGTTGGAGGTTATGGTTCAACTCCTTCGGCATCTCGCGGCGGGCGGGTGCTGGAGCACCCGATGTACCCTGCATGATACTTTACTGATCATTGCTGGGAGGCGACCTTTGTAGTTAGTTTTGGTGCATTTGGACCCACCCGACGTACGTTTGCGAACCCACCTTTACACACTTGTATGTCTTCTTGTTCGTTCGAAGGCTTCCAGGGGTTACTTACACGTAATTTTCCTTCACGATGCGAAGACTTTGCCGAATTGTTTCGGTTGTACCAACAGATCTGTGGAGACAGACGACTTTGTTCTAGTAGAGTGATGATACTTGGAACATATTTCGCACTGTGGCAGCGTTCGTCGTGTCTTTCTTCGAAGTCCTTGCATGCATCCCAAATTGTTTAATTTTGTTGCCTAATTGCACCAATCTTTTCTTGCTCTTGGTAGTGAAAAGGTCCCTTGCTGTCTTCATGATCGCCTCACAGTGGTCAACGTATCCAATCGTAGCAAGTGTTGGAATTAAGTGAACAGTGTACTTGTAGTTGTTTAAACTGTGCTGTCCGATTTAATTCTGACATTAGGTTGACATTTGTTCCTACCCCTCTCTACCTGATTCCTAGTTATAAATTTTTGTGCCCTTTCAAGTAGCACCTTTCTCATTTTTAGAATTTGAATCGTCACTAAACATTCGTTCCACTTGATGGGTACTGATAGAGATGTTTTATGATCTCTCTTTCTTTCTCCTTTTTTTCATTTGGATTGTTATTATACTTTTATTTTTAAATAATCTTGTTTGGTGCTAAGGAAATACTGTCGTAGTCGTTTGAATCTTCCTCGCAGTGTTGTGTGCAGTTCCTCTGAACAGATGTTAGACGCTCTGTTATTGATGCTTGGAGACGGAAATCTCTGAATGGGAAGATACCATGGAATGAACTGGCGCATGAAGTTAATTTGAAGCATCGTGTATTATCGAAGTATCTGAAAAATGGACTTTTTAGGATGGTCGTCAAATTATGTGGTACAAACCCTACTCCGTTTACTACTGGATTCTTCTGATTTCGTAAATATGTACTAGGGTGTCGGAAAGGCATGATTCAGCTCTTCGATGTGATTTTGGTATAGTTAGGAGTAAGTTTTGTTCAATTAATCTTTCCAGTTCTGACTGAAAGGGATTTGCAGAATTGCGTATTTAAAAAAAATAAAAAACAAGAAAAGAAAAGAAAAGAAAAGAAAAGAAGGAAAAAAAACAATGAGATGTCGGGAGGTGCTCCTTGAGTGGGAAATTTATGCAATCGATTCGTAATTTATAAGGTTTTGTGGAAGTCGCTCGGGCATTTATAAATATGTTGATTCAAATAAACTCTGCAGTCTGTGATCTACTTCACAGCCTTTCTCGTATTAGAGTTCTGGGATCGCTGCTATGAGATGTGAAATTGAGTACGCACTGGTTTTGTAATCAATTACACACATCCATTGCAGGCAAGATGTGCCGTCTCAGTCTTCGAGGCAGCAGGAGGAAGCCTCGGATGGCATGATAGCGGCACTATTGGCGAGCTTCACATGCGTCCTCTAGGAGATGGGATGATAAATTTTCAGCTCCATGATTTGCTGGTCTGTTTACTTAATCCTTTCACCGAATTTTTTCATTCTTGCATGTCCGAAGTTTTACTCAGTTGGAATAACATTGAAATCAAGGGTGAAATCTTTCTCGAAGTGATTTTGTAATCTTAGGCGTGAGATGTCATTGAATTTCGAATTTAGTTTGTATCTGGAAATCGTTCAAGGCGCTAATGATTATTGATGGTCATTGCACAGGACGGTCAGAAGTTGTTCGAGTACACAATGCGAAAGCCACAATCTTTTACATCCCCGGTGGATCGATTCTTTGTCATTAGTTTAGAGGTACTGTTTTTTCTCTCCTTATAACTGAGTAATATCAATTTTAGCCTAAGAACTAAAGTCATAATGTACAACTTAAAAATCGTGGACAACCGTCATAATTTAATTTTCCGAAAACGTATGTAGTGGACATACAGAACTGATCTCTTTGCTGCTCTCATATCTGAAGTCATCGAACGGGATAAGGAATCTTCCTTTTTGCATTTCTTACTAAAATGCTGGACCGTGTTGTGCACAGAATGGCAGCTTTCGAGGATTCGGGTTTGCTTATTCGTCGGCAGCAATTGAGATGAAGGACAGGGTTATCAAAGCAGTTCAACCTTACAGTATAGGAACAACTCCAATTCCCATCGTCGATGAACTTCCAACTGAGAGTTCGGGGAAGAACTCTGTTGTTTCTTATCGCAGTGTGCCAAGGCGCTCCACCTCAAGTAGGCCGTTCAACAATGCAGGTAATGAAATCGATGCAGAAGAAGGGACAGTTTAATGAGGCATTTAATGAGTACAATCAATTATGAACCACAGTAGCTGCTTCATCACCTTGAGACGATAAACGTGGTCATGAATGTGCCTGAGCTAAGCGACACTGGCCCATGTAATGTTCTATACTAGCCAATGTTTCGGAATTTAGACTTTCGAGAAAAAACAATGATTTGTTTTATAAATACTTTTTTACCTAAAATCATATGATATGCTCGGAACATAACAGATTGGATGATTTACAATGTTTAATTGATAATCATAAAAGGATGTTTTTATTGTTTGGTATCTGTTCTAGTTGAAATTTTATTTTGGCCTGTGAAAGTTGATATCCTACTCTACTAGTAGATGACATTATTTTTCGCCAGATTGTAATTTGTATTGCTAAGAGCGTTCACTCCAATTTTTAAGCGTTGTGATGATGCTAACATACTTCTCATTATCATTGAACCATTTTCAGAGAGGACTACTCCGCAAACAAGAGACACGCTTCATTCACAACTTCTTGAATCGTCATCATTTTCTGGGAAACCCAAGAAGAGGAGGTCCTGGAAAGTGGGGAAAGCTGTGACCGCATTGTCTCATCTTTTTGGTGAGCATACCTCCTAAGGCATTATTAAGCACTCGTGCCTTGCTGCGTTGTTCATGTTCTGTATTGAGCCCGTCTGATCATCATCTTACTGGCAGTCTGGAGAAACAATGAACTGGACATTGGCTATCCAACGGACGTAAAACATGTTGCGCATATTGGCTGGGATGTCCCTTCGATAAATGGACCAGGATGGGTACATATCTTCTTACTTACGAAATCATTCCTTGTGTATATCTCAGTAGGAATCCAAATAGCTCCGAGTGACAGGTGAGAAGTATCAACCAACAGATGTGAATTGAGAAATAAATAACAAACTGTCTTCAACTGCGCCGCATACATCCAGCCCCTGATTTTTAAAAGCACTCGACAGTGGTTGTATTATTTGAGCCCGTTAAGTCTCATGTATGACGATACGCTTTATTACAAGATATATTCTTCAGCATTAATTGGCTTGTGAGAAAACGGTGTACTCATTAAGGTTATGGTATCCTTCTGGTTTTAATAATCCAATGATTCCTACGGGAGTTGTTGGCATCCAATTTACGATTTTTTCGGTTTCAAAACTCTTAATTTTATAGATCGCGAGCACTAAGCTTTCTGGCACGGTTTGCAGATGGACGAATTAAGACCAGGTCCAGATTATTCATCCGGACCACTTTCAGAGTTCGGACAACCTCTTGGTCCAGAGTGGTATCATGATGCAGCGTCTGCTTCTAAGTGGATCTCATCTTTTGGTAAAATATCTGCTGATCCTCTTCCTCATGCATTCATGGTTTGCTGGATATCATGGCAGTGTGACGCTTTAACAACACACGATTTAGTCCCGACGTTGGTTTTCTTCCTCATAGACGATGTGTACATTTCTTCTGACAAGGGTGGCGGTACTGATGTAGACAATCCAGCTGTGCTACCACTTGGTAAAACCAATGAACGTCATGCCAAAGCACACCAACAACTGTCCTTTGGAATGTGCAGGAAACAGATCAGGAATACCTCCTCTTCCTCCTAAACAATACTTAGATGCACTTGAAGCAAATTCGAAATCAAGAAAGTTCAAAGAATCAAACCTGCGACAGAGAACGAAATCTGCTGCTCGACGACAACGGCAACGGTAACGGTAACACCCAGCTTCTCACCAGCGCCATCTTGCAAAGCCTTGAATTTCTGTAGAAGCTTTGTGCACACAGCGACCATCAGGAGCACTACTACAGTTGTAAAGCAGGTTGCAAACATTCATGGGTTCATCTCCATGTTTGTTTTCTTCTGGAGGTTGTATCTTAAACTGATGTTTCAGACCTACAGATTTTGAGTTGCAGCCTCTGATGCGACGATGAGAGTTTGATTAGGTTTGGTAGCACCTTGTAATAAGACCTTGTATATATGTAGGATAACTGTTATATATCCCTTCTTCTACTCCTTTCAAATATCAACTTAGTTTCAAAAGAAGAATTCTCAATTAATACATTTGACAGCCATGACTGCTGTGAGTGTGTGATGCCTTCATGCCCATTCACGGTGATAATTTCACTTTATTTTATTTTATTTTTTAAAATTATATATATTACTTGAAGGATCACTTTTGTCTTGCAGGAGTCGTTGAATTGTTCCAATATGGTAACAGGATCTTTAGCTATTGGTGTTCTATATTTAGCATTAAAAGTGAGAGCTCAATATTTTCAATAATATTCTAGTATATTTGTTGTTAATATTTTTTTGGATTAAACATGAAAATGTTCTTCGGGTTCATTGGTTATTATGATTGTGATTATTATTTATTTGTAATGGCTTAGAGTAAAAAGTTCTAAACCTTCTATCAATTATTATTTAATTTGATTGCTGAAAATGTATTCTAAATGGTAATTTCATGGATTGTACACCTTCAACTTTTGTCCTCAGTTGTTTGTGATAATATTGATTAATTTAATGAAATAATGAATTTTTCCTTCCATCCAATCATAAGGTAATAGTACACATTTTTACAAAAAAAAAAAAAAAAAAAAAAAAAAAAAGTTGTTAACCCTGATACATTTAGATGCTTTGAATCTTTTTATTTGTTGTAATTACATTCTGATGAAGAGACCAAAATAATATTGTTTATTCTTTGTTCTAAAATACACTTCAAAGTTCATGCCTATTGACTACATAGATGTATATATACACACAGATACATACATGACACAATACATTCCTCTACTTGTGTATTTTTAATCATAAATTCTTATTGCTCTCCAAAGAATATTTTTATTTATTAACTTTTTTCAATCCTTCAGAGAATTTATCATTTGAGAAATTATGCAACATTCTTAGAAATTTGGACTTTTAATTTAATAAATGCACCATATATATATATATATACATTCACCCATCTTTAGTGCAATATTTAGTTTGACATAGAAAAAAAATCAATCTTGGACCTTAGATGATCAATTATTTATTCTTTTGATGAGTTAAATCATTTAGGGTGTTTTTGATATCTTAATGTATATTTTTGACAAAAAAATTGCTTGAAATTTGTTTTGCAACCAATTCTTACTTATCTAATTATTATTAATTTTTTCCATAAGCATTTTCTAATAATAAGAATTACAATAGTGAAAGTTGGTTAAAATGGAAGCAAAAAAACACATTCAAAAAAAAGATATAATAATGGCCAAATTGTCAATGAATGTATCCACCAATAAAATACATTGAATGATTTGGCACTATTTTTCTATTATAAAAATGACTCACAATGACTAATTGTTAGTTTTTTTATAAGATCTACCTAAAGATCTTTATTACAATGCTAGGCATGAATATTTGTCTATCACTACCATATACATTGTTATTTGTAAAATAGTGAAAAAGATGTGGATGTCTCCATGTGATGGTTTGGTTAAGTGATCTTGAGTATTAGTTACAATCTAAAAAGATATAGATTTTAATTCCATGGTCGTTACAAGGACTATTATAATACTATACATTAAATATTTTTTTCTTCATTTCATTAGATATGAAAAAAAATAAAAATAAATACTTGTCATGAATTTGTGAATTTTTAATTCTCCTATATACTAAATCTTAAAATACACCACAAACCAAAACTTCAAAATTTCTAAAATTTTATTTTATATAAATTTTAATTTTTTATATTATATTTTATTATTATAATTATTCATGTGTTTTTTTAAAGTTGTTTATATGATTTTATTTCACAGAAGGGGATAATTTATTTTCATTTTATTCAATGTTAATAAAATATTTTTATATCATCAATAATTAATTAATTAATTATCATTTATTATTATTATATCATACATCATTATTATGCATCAATAAATTATTTTAACATTTCACTCCCAAAACCAAAGCGAGAATTTCCCAATACTCGTTAAGCCCAATTCTGTAAAGGATCCACGTCAAGACGAGAAGCTGACGGACGACCTCGACGACGATGCCTCTCGTTCGTCATGAGCAACGAACTAACGATGTTCGTTGACGATGTTGTTCGTTCGCTAGTTCGTTCCCTCGTTCGTTCGTCGGTGCCTCAACTGTTTCGTTCGCTGCGCTGGCTTTGATGAGCCGGAGTTTGTTATCAGCTTTGAATGTCTCGGGGAATGTCGAGGAAGGGATGGTCTCGCTTGAATCAATGCCGCACCGAGCCACTCACCCACTCAATGCCTGCCCGCTTGAGGAGCATTTTTAACCCGAAGCATGGAATTCATTCGCTGTGTCTGTGTGTGTCGATAAGGAATCGTTTATTGAGTTGTATGAGACGGACGGTATTATCTCGCTTTTTGTGCATTGCGAGATTATTGTTTAGTCCTCATTGAAGTCGTTTCACCTTTGTAGCCGAACGGTGCCGCATCTTCGGGATGAAGGCGTCGTGCAAATGGATTTCTTAATATTTTATATCGGTCTTCTGTTCTGACGCCTTTTTCTTCTCTACCGGCGACTGCTTCAGGGTCAAGTGGTCGTGAATTACTATCGAAATTTTGGCTGAACATCTCAAAATAGTTTCAGGTTTGACCTCAATTGTGCCATATATTCGGTGATGTGAATGTCTCCGTGCAATTGAACGTGAGAATCTCCAAAGAGATTCGTTTTAAAAATCTTGTTTCCGAATTGTGGGAATAATTAGTGTAAAGCGGACACAACAAAACCTTCAAGGATTTTTTTACGTAACATACATGTATTCTTTCCTCGCAATTTTGTTCGTCTAATGGTTGACTATAATCACCACCTTCATTTGAAACTTGTGGAAATCAAGGTATATTTCCTGTTTAAGTTGTACAGTTGTTACTTTAACGATTGGTCTACTTTTTTACGTCTGCAACCATGTTGCAATCAAGTATGACGTCAATACTTTGTTGTTCTTTGGTATTGTATCGTGAAATGGTGGTGACTGGTTGTTGGTGTGTCCAGGGTTGTATGTTTAAGTTTGAAATAATGTCTAGTTGCAAGGTCTCTTATTACAGGAGGTGGTACTGTCGGTCTGTTGGTCAACTTCACTCAGTGTGCTCAAACTTTTTTGTAAATTTAGACACATAGGAATATACATAATGCATTGCTTTATTCTAAGGTTTGCAATGTTTTTGGGAAGACATGATTATATAAATATTTTTTAGTTGAATACGTTTAGACAATTCTGGTTGGATTTTAAAATGCTATGTTTGTTTAAAGAAGTGGCAGTTCAATATATATATATATATATATATATATATAACTCTCAAGTATTTGAAACCATTTTCAAATCTCCTTCAATGTTGAACCAATCGTATCACACACAGAGTCTGTAAACTTTACAAATTATACATGCATGATAAAACAAAATAACAATCCTTACAAATACACAAAAAAAAGTATTATAATTAAACAGATACCATTGTAACCAAGATGCATGTACTTGTGAGATAAGGTTCTTCGATGTCTACAAGCATGAGAAAGTGAATATCAAAATCTTACTAGTTTGATCGTAAAAGTAGGTGGTATAAAGAGAATCAATAAAATTAAGGCAAGTGTGAAATCAATTAGTTGATGAAATGGTTACGTAGTTGCATGATTCTTTCAAGAGATCCTAACAAACAAAAACACAACATTGCGAGGAAAACAACAATGCTGTCTCCCCGACAGGTCCCGGCGAGATTTGAACTCGCGTTACTGGATTCAGAGTCCAATGTCCTGACCGCTAGACTACGGGACCGCGAACTTGTTCGACGCGAACCAAAGATAAATTTTAATCTGTAGTAGTTAAGACGCTTCGATAGTTGAAACCCAAGAAGTAGGGTTTTGCGTGCAGTTATTAAATGGGAACATCGTCAATCCGAACTTGCTGGCGCTTCCCAGTTGCCTTGTGCTTGACCACAGAATGCTGGCTGTGTGACATGACTTTTACGTTTTTTTTTTTTTTTTTTTTTTTTTTTCAGATTCGATTTTAGACATTTATCTGAGTAGTGAGAATTTGTACCCTCAACTCAGAGACCCCGCTTCGGAGCAGCGAGGAAATTCGGTTTCTTCGGGATCTTGCGGAGGATGGCGGTTGTGGAGAGTGTGAGCGCGAGAGAGGAACAATAGATAGAGAGGCAAAGGATAAGCGTGAGTGGTGGTGGGCAGAGTGGATGCGCATTCGTCGAAGTGCAGAGCACGAGGCGGTGACGTGGGGGGGCGGGCGAGCCGGCGCACGGAATGTGTGGGCGAGGAAAGGGATGCGTGGATAGGTTAGGGTGCAGCAGGTGCGGGTGTAAGTGTGTGAGTGTGTGAGTGTCGGTGGTTGAGAGGGAGGGAGGGGGTCAATGAGTGCGTGAGCGAGGGGGGGCCTGCGGGGATGGAGGTGGCTCCCGGCTGGTTCTTCACTTCGAATTCGCATGATGGATCCAGGTTGCACAGCTGATTATTTCATCTGGTGATTTTGTTTTACAAGGAAGTGCTAAGAATCCGTTTAGCGTACGCTCAAAAGATAAGCTCGGAATTATCTAGTAATGGCTGCAGCCATGGCGTGTAAGAATTTAACCCGTTGTGCCGAGGCGCCTTTCAGTAAAAGAATTTCAAAAGCATTACTCGGTATCGAAGCCCGAAGCTCCCAGAAAAGTGTTTGGATATGGCAAGGGTCTGTGCGAATGTGTTGGACAAAAAGAAATCCCCTCTCGTCGCCACATGTGTTAAGAAAAGTAGAAGACAAGGTGTTAGAAGGTCCCTCATCCAGGGCACCAGCGATCTCGAGAATTTCATGTACACTAGACCTGGAAAAGAAAACTGGGAGCAGTAATGTGGCATCGGCCGCTCGGCTACGAGGTGTGTGTTTTTTCTGCACGGACTCTTCTTTTTAACCCTTAGTGTGTTCTTCCCGGATTGTTTCGATGTACTGTTCACTCTCGATTAACCTGTCTCTCATCTCCCGCGATGATAGATTGCGTTTTTTCATAGCAGTGGTTTTGTTAGTTGTATGATGATTGTATTGGCTCGTCCTAATTTGTGATAATTGCCAACTGAGGATGGACCGAGCTTCTTCTGTCTTTCATAAAGAGTATCTTGCTACTCTTTCATGTTCATCACGTGTATTGCGGTTGAGATAAATGTGTCTCGTTCATTTTAGCATCTAATACAGTCTGTACTTTTATTGATTTAATCCCTTCTGTTGCGTCCACAGAACATGCGTGTTCTTATGGAGCTTGGTATAGTTATAGAATATTTTGTAGTTTTCAGAGTGTCAGTGGTGTGTGTTACAGGGAGACGTTTCCCTCGGAATTCAGTGCTTCATGAAGAGTATCAGCTCGCATCAGTAGGCGCTTCTTCCCTTTCAAGAGTAGTAGGCACTGCCCATCACTCCGACACCAGCAACATCTGTCATGAAGGTCATACCCCGCTTAGTCTTTCTCGAGTGTAGCATTGTCATTTACTTGTACATCATGATTGTTCTATTTCCTTCGAAGATTCGTTCTATCAGATCCTTTTGTCCATGACACGCTACTTTAACATTGATTCTAGTGCAATTGCATTTACGGCTGTTTAAGAGTCACTAGTAGTAAACCAGTTTTCAGTACATTCGTGTGAGCACAAGTAAGTGTGAGATCAGCCTAATTTTGGAACAGCTTTATTTGCTTTAATATGAGCTAATTGCTGAAGAGTGTTTGCTGTCATGATACATCTGAAAAGTTGACAGAACCTCAGTAAATGAACTGAAGCTTCTGTGGACAACGTTGTTAAAAGAGTTACGTGATTCGTGTATTACTAGTGGCATTCAGAAATACTCTTTATCAATGTTCAGTAATTTAATTTTTTTTCGTATGATTTTTCTGCTTTCAGTTCGTGATATGAGCGAAGAAGATGTAGAGAACCTCAATGACCTTGTCGCAGGCAGCTTAACCAGCCCCCAAGATTCGAGGGGACCGGAGAACTCAAATTCTTTTGCAACCGGGACTACGCAGCGGTGGTTCCCCTATGAAGATTGTTTCAAGCTTGATGATGAGAGATCACTGAGAAGCTCTGAAGTTCTCTCAATGTTGTCTCCGTTCTTAGGAGATGAACGCAAGCAAAGAATTGAAGAAGTTGTTGCGAATCGGACATATTCTATATGCATAGCCGTTGAGGGGCTTTTGGACCTTGGCAACGTTTCTGCTGTATGCCGTTCGGCTGATGCCCTTGGGTTTCAATCCGTGCACGTTATAAGCAACGAGACCAAGAAGAGGTGAGCTTCTCACTCTATATACTTCAAGATCATGGAGTTTGGGGAGATAAGTGATAGCTGGGCCAAATGGGCGGTAATTTAAAAACTTATCAGCATGGTTGAATTCGTAACGCTTGAGTTTTGGTATTATCCGCAAAGATGAAGGTGCTGATTTTCATATTTATCATGGCTTTCTGTGCGTTACGATAATGTGAATACCGCCTTCCACATTGTTCAAACTGCAACATTCGTCATTCGAGACATTAAACTATTTCTTACACAGCTGCAGAATGGCACAAAACCGTCAATAGTCCTCTCTGTGTAGTTTGAAATAAGTGTGCTGCTCTTAATGTGGCCGCGACCGGAATATTTGACAGATATAAGAAGAACCGAAAGGTCAGTATGGGTACAGAAAAGTGGTTGGACGCAGAATTGTGGAGCAATACAAGCGATTGCATTGACACTTTACGACAACGGGGTTACCGAATTGCTGTCACACACATCGCTCCCGACACTGTGAGCCTTCACGAAACTGAACTTTGCCCGCGGTAAATGTGACGATAATATTAGGTCTTTTGCATGGTTTTCAAAGGTTTGTTCTTTTCCTTTCTTCTCACTTTTAAGATTGTGCCTGGTGACTGACAGGTGTCTATTTATGACATGGACTGGACCATACCAACGGCAGTTTTCTTTGGGAACGAGTTCATGTGAGTCCAAGAATGCATTGATTATAATCCTCAAAATTGTCCTGTTTATCCCCATTCAGGTCTAAACACATGAGATGCATGATTTGGAAGTGTCAAGATTATAGAAATATTGCATGTGTCGTTAGCTCACTTCTCGTGCATATTTTTACTGGTCACGAAGTCAATTAGGAACTACCTCGTATTATTTTCAGACCTACACAGGTTTTCTTTTCAATCAGTGAGGACATGTTAGCTGTTACGATTTTGAAGTCACTGTAGAGAGCACTTCGTCTTGCAGGGGCGCATCTGAGGAAGCGATAAAACAATCTGATGTACGATGTTGCATCCCCATGGCTGGCATGGTAGAGTCTTTCAATATTTCAGTTGCTGCTGGAATAATTATGCATCATGCCGCCCGTGACAGAATCATTCGCTCTGTAAGACTACTTTCTTATCCGTTTTGATTTGATGTAGCCATTTGGTTAGTCTTCCACGTATACTGAGTAACCTACTATTCTCTTTTTCTTTTACCGAGCCGTTTGGTAAGTGGACGTTTTCAGTAGAATGTTTCTTAGATTTGAATCATAATTTGTGTAGTTTAAGGTGGTGAGAGGTATTTCTACAATCAGTACCTGATAACAGACATCCTAGATACATCAACTTCTCCTCGATAGACTGAAATTGGTTTCTGCACTTCATACACTTCATGCATTTCATTCAGTTTTTGATCCCTGGTTTTCTTACTCGCAACTAGTCTACCAGTGATTTGAATGCCAGAAGTGATCTAGTGCCACTATTAGTATATTCTCATGCTCTACTACTGTTTCCGACATGTTTTTCGTCTTAGGGAGTACATGGAGATATATCACCAGAAGATAGAAGAATATTAGAAGCTGAATTCTGCTTGCGGCACAACCGTCATACTGTTCCACTCTTGGACCGTTTGCTGGAGAAGAAAGGACAAGCTGCAGATGGCCCGGAGATGACTGATATATTCAGCGAAGAGTTGCTCTCCGATATCGAAATGCCTGAGTATCTTAAAATGTAACAGAATCGAATCTGGCAACTTTTTTGATCTTCGGGTTTCCACCAAGAACTAGTTTGCCAACTCAAGAACGTGGTGGAACCCCTTATTTAAGAAGTGATTTAGGGACACTAGCAATTGAGTCTTGGCAAAAGTGCCTTGAGTTTGACCTGATAGCATGGGTCTCTACAAGATGAATATTAAATTTGTAGCCTGAAGGAGCACTGCAATCTACGATCCGTTTTATTGAGTAGAGTATTTTTTTTCCTGCTTTTCGTGGACAGAGTGACATACATCAGCACCGTAATAGAGTATTTGACAGGGTAAAAAAATGTCATAGCGAAGCGAACGCGTGCACATTCTTGAGATTTATTACAATAAATCATGTTCATCTGAATTCGAGACAATGCTCTTATTTTACAGATTGTGACGATTGCAAATTGTGGAATCAGGTTTCCCTCAAGCTTACAATGCTGTATTGCAACATTTCCAATGCGAGCATACGTGATAATCTACTGACAATATGTGATGAATGGGCACATCCGAAAAGATAGGTACGAGTTTGGGGACGCAGGTCTCGAACTCCCTATCCAGCGGTGGGTGCGGGAAATAGTGTAGGACTTCGAAATAAATCTTCAGTTCCAGAACTCTGGCATCACAGTTTTGCAGTAGACCTCCAACGCTAACTTGGTTTATTTGAAGACATGGAACCTCGATTTCGCAGAGCAGGTACCCAGCTCGCACTCTGACCCATTTACTTCGTCCACGCGTGTCTACAGACATAGATGTCTGGTAGCTGCCTCAGATTTTGTGAGCAGTAAGATTTTATAAGCAGCTTACTGTTGGGAGTCCCCAAAATATTGGTAAGAGGGGTGCAGGGTTAAAAACTTGGGGTTTTAAAAAAGAAACACAAAATTATTTATGAGCAATTTGACAGGGTTAATAATTTAGGGTTTATTAAAACGTTCTGGTGCGAGGAGCCATTTAAATTTTCTGTGCAACCAGCACCAGGTACCAGCTGGGTACCTATTCCGCTGTGACTGGAGGTGGAACTGCAGTAACCCTTCTACACTGCTGTACTGCTTATCCCATCATATTGTGAACAGTTACCATGCTTCAACGACATTTTTTGCTGCAACGATGCTGCAGGTTTGGAGACGGGCCAGAGCATCCGAAACGCTGGGGTGCCATCAAAGACATGGAGTGAGACATCAAGGGTAACGATGACAACGTGGGTAGCCAATGACGTGGAAGAGCTGGAGATCGGAGCCAATGCGGGACCCTCGTCTGCTTGCGTTTGGGTCCCTGTCTAAATTCCTCCCCATTCTCTCTAGCAAGAGCCCCTGTTCCCTACAGCTCGGATTCACCTCTTCCTTGTAGCTGTGCGTACCAGCGACCACGGTAACGGGAAGTCAGTTTCCTATGAATTGTGAATATCCAACGAGTTGAAAGTACCCAGACGTTGTCGCACCTATGGCGTTCGCTGAGTGCTCCAAGTGCGGTGTTGGGTCCATTTCTGCCACCTCCACCAGGTATGTATGCTCATCGAGTTCAGTTGCCAATTGGATTGTAGTTCAGACAGGCATTAAACTTCCTTGTATGTTGTACTTCACTTATTGTAGTTAATTCGTAGTTTATGTAATCTATGAAATATGCTGGACTTAATCCCTATGTAAGTCAGTAGCAATGTAGGGGTGAGGATTGATTGCTGGTTTAGGTTCGATAAATTGTTCGGATGGTTCTGACCAGTACATTATGTTAAGCGTGGACTATATTATGAGTGGAGTCGCCTTGCAATTAGTATGTGAAGGATGATAAAATTCTGCAAGTTCCACAGCAACTTAGTCTGAGAAATTTCCAGCGTCTTCCAAATTTATTTGAAATCAAATGCAACCAATCCTGAGATTTTATTCACGATAGTGGCATACGAATCGATTTTCTTTCGACTTCGTGCAGCAGGGTAATAAGCAATGTGGCATGTGCCAAAGCTTTGTTCCTCTCGGAATGTGCCCTCCGAATGACCAAGGTAGCAGATACCAGCACGGGTGAAATGATGACCTCTGCTGTTGCCTCTCTTCTCATAACAAAAGACCATTGTGTTAACTATGCAACCGAGTCACCAAGTGGATTTACGGCAGGTAATGAATTGCTCGCAACGCCAGTTACGTAACTAGATATATTCTGGAATTGCTGGAACGTATTGTTATGTTTCGACCTAATCAGCATAAATATCAGGAAACGTATTTTTTATTCATGTATTCTTCAAAATGAGGGAATCTGGTCATCGGTCACGAACTACACCCCGATCAGTTTCTACCAGATGTTTCCATTTGCTGGCTTTGAACTGTTTTCTGAGCAGTATTGCAACTCTGCGAATGATCAAGACTGGACCAGCTAAAGAACTAAACCCAGTCACTCTTCGCAGGATCGGACCCGGAGACGCTGAAGTGGTTCGTGCAGGCAGAGCTTGTGCACTGCCGATGGGCCATGCTTGGAGCCGCCGGAATCTTCATCCCGGAAGCTCTGACGAAGATGGGCATCTTGAACACTCCGTCGTGGACCGTGGCGGGCGACGCCGACTACTTCACGGACAAGACCACGCTGTTCGTGATTGAGCTGATCCTGTTCGCGTGGGCCGAGGGCAGGAGATGGGCGGACATCGTGAACCCCGGGTGCGTGAACGTGGATCCCGTATTCCCCAACAACAAGCTGACGGGCACCGACGTGGGGTACCCCGGAGGGTTGTGGTTTGACCGGGCTGGGGCCAGACCAGCGACGCCGCGAAGCGGAAGGATCTGAGGACGCGAGAGATCAAGAACGGGAGACTGGCGATGCTTGCGGTGTTGGGCGCCATCGTGCAGGCGAACTACACGCACACAGGGCCCATCGACAACCTGGTGGCCCACTTGGTCGATCCCGGTCACAACACCATCTTCGCGTTGAGCAACGTAAGCGTGCCCCCCCCCCCCCCCCCCCTGCGTCCAGAGCGCTATGCAGTTTGTGGAGAGGAGAGGTGGTTACGCGAGAATGTGTTGTGTAGTGTTGAGTGCAGGGAAAGAATGTGTGGTGCGGCATGAATTGGACAACAGCGTTGGTTGGTTGGTTGGGTGGGTGGTGGGGGCGTGGACGCATGTGCGGGCGGGGGGGGGTTTTAATCCTCGGTTGGTGTGTCGTGGTTGAACGCAGCTGGTAGGCAAGTAGAGCGGCGATGGCGTGAAGGGATGCGGGAGGGAAGCGAGCGCGAGCGAGCGTGGCTTAGAGAATGTGGGATGGAGTAGAATGAGTAGGAGATTGTGGATGCGATGTTCCTGAGAATTTTATTTATTGAACGTGGGGGTGCGTGGGTGTTGCGGTGAAAACGTTGCACGAATTTCTCGATGGTTCCAGGACTACTGCTGATGTGCAGATGAATCACGTTGCGCATGTGCATGTGTGTGTGGGTGTGGAATGTGTCTCATGGTTGCACTGATTGACGTGTGTGAAGGGGCATGGGTTCGTTGGAGGGTTAGATTTGGAGTGTCACAGTTGTGGTATCTGAAAATTGGCACATTGGTTTCGTTGGCCAGTGTGGTTGGTGATGAATGAGTGAAGGAGAGGGTGCAGTTGGTTCAGATGGTGTGCGCATGGACACTTTGCGGCGGCGGATGGTGGCATGTGAAGCAGTGCGCAACGAACGGGGAGGTGGTGGATGACCCATATCGATGGGAGGTGGGTGCGAGGGGCGGTACATGTGGTCGCGTAGGTAGTTGAACTTGTGTCTCTTCGGAGACATCTGATAAAATTGGAACGATACAGAGAAGATTAGCATGGCCCCTGCGCAAGGATGACACGCACAAATCGAGAAATGGTCCAAATTTTTTCTCTCCTCTCTTCCCCACTGTCCCTCTTTTCTGTTTTGCCCGACTTGCTAAGTCAGTCGTCTTGGTTGTCGCCTCTTGGCAAATATTGTGTTTAAAATGGGGCTTCGAAAGAATCTCTGCAGAGTAATTTTCATATTCTCATATTCTTTGTGTGCAAAAATCTGCTTTTCTTCATGATAATATATATATATATATATATATATATTTTTTTTACAATCCAAATTTATTTACCTCAAGGCTAGGTAATTAATAAGGAGATCGAAGAAGTCCATGTCCATGTAAGTTCACCTTTATTTATCACTAAGTGAAGCAAGAAGCATTGGCAAAAAAGTTTAGAAGAAATTTTCAAGTTTTGTCAATGTAAGAAAAAATGATTGATGATATAAGATGTTGTGGTATAACAATAATGGATTTGTTGAATTTTGCATGATAGCAATCCTGGTAATTGTGCATGTTGAAGATGTTACTCACAAAATCCTTTCATAGAAGTAATAACTAATGGTCATAATAGCTTTGTGGTATTTAATATTATTAAATATCCATTTAATCCAATCATTTTAAGTTTATCATGGTTAAAAAAATAGAATCCTTAAGTAGATTGAATATCTTATATCCTTCACTTTTCTAAAAGTATAATTAAGAGTGTAGTTAATCAAGTAGAAAATCATAAGTCTAATATAATTAAACCTATATTTGTAGGTGCAAGAGCTTTATTGCATGCTGCAAAAAAAAAGATCATCTTGTATCATTTATGCCACACCCGTTTCTATTGGTGCAAAGACTCAAGTGATATTTCAAGCCAATAACTACACTCTTAATTATACTTTTAGAAAAGTGAAGGATATAAGATATTCAATCTACTTAAGGATTCTATTTTTTTAACCATGATAAACTTAAAATGATTGGATTAAATGGATATTTAATAATATTAAATACCACAAAGCTATTATGACCATTAGTTATTACTTCTATGAAAGGATTTTGTGAGTAACATCTTCAACATGCACAATTACCAGGATTGCTATCATGCAAAATTCAACAAATCCATTATTGTTATACCACAACATCTTATATCATCAATCATTTTTTCTTACATTGACAAAACTTGAAAATTTCTTCTAAACTTTTTTGCCAATGCTTCTTGCTTCACTTAGTGATAAATAAAGGTGAACTTACATGGACATGGACTTCTTCGATCTCCTTATTAATTACCTAGCCTTGAGGTAAATAAATTTGGATTGTAAAAAAAATATATATATATATATATATATATATTATCATGAAGAAAAGCAGATTTTTGCACACAAAGAATATGAGAATATGAAAATTACTCTGCAGAGATTCTTTCGAAGCCCCATTTTAAACACAATATTTGCCAAGAGGCGACAACCAAGACGACTGACTTAGCAAGTCGGGCAAAACAGAAAAGAGGGACAGTGGGGAAGAGAGGAGAGAAAAAATTTGGACCATTTCTCGATTTGTGCGTGTCATCCTTGCGCAGGGGCCATGCTAATCTTCTCTGTATCGTTCCAATTTTATCAGATGTCTCCGAAGAGACACAAGTTCAACTACCTACGCGACCACATGTACCGCCCCTCGCACCCACCTCCCATCGATATGGGTCATCCACCACCTCCCCGTTCGTTGCGCACTGCTTCACATGCCACCATCCGCCGCCGCAAAGTGTCCATGCGCACACCATCTGAACCAACTGCACCCTCTCCTTCACTCATTCATCACCAACCACACTGGCCAACGAAACCAATGTGCCAATTTTCAGATACCACAACTGTGACACTCCAAATCTAACCCTCCAACGAACCCATGCCCCTTCACACACGTCAATCAGTGCAACCATGAGACACATTCCACACCCACACACACATGCACATGCGCAACGTGATTCATCTGCACATCAGCAGTAGTCCTGGAACCATCGAGAAATTCGTGCAACGTTTTCACCGCAACACCCACGCACCCCCACGTTCAATAAATAAAATTCTCAGGAACATCGCATCCACAATCTCCTACTCATTCTACTCCATCCCACATTCTCTAAGCCACGCTCGCTCGCGCTCGCTTCCCTCCCGCATCCCTTCACGCCATCGCCGCTCTACTTGCCTACCAGCTGCGTTCAACCACGACACACCAACCGAGGATTAAAACCCCCCCCCGCCCGCACATGCGTCCACGCCCCCACCACCCACCCAACCAACCAACCAACGCTGTTGTCCAATTCATGCCGCACCACACATTCTTTCCCTGCACTCAACACTACACAACACATTCTCGCGTAACCACCTCTCCTCTCCACAAACTGCATAGCGCTCTGGACGCAGGGGGGGGGGGCACGCTTACGTTGCTCAACGCGAAGATGGTGTTGTGACCGGGATCGACCAAGTGGGCCACCAGGTTGTCGATGGGCCCTGTGTGCGTGTAGTTCGCCTGCACGATGGCGCCCAACACCGCAAGCATCGCCAGTCTCCCGTTCTTGATCTCTCGCGTCCTCAGATCCTTCAGCTTCGCGGCGTCGCTGGTCTGGCCCCAGCCCAGCGGGTCAAACCACAATCCTCCGGGGTACCCCACGTCGGTGCCCGTCAGCTTGTTGTTGGGGAATACGGGATCCACGTTCACGCACCCGGGGTTCACGATGTCCGCCCATCTCCTGCCCTCGGCCCACGCGAACAGGATCAGCTCAATCACGAACAGCGTGGTCTTGTCCGTGAAGTAGTCGGCGTCGCCCGCCACGGTCCACGACGGAGTGTTCAAGATGCCCATCTTCGTCAGAGCTTCCGGGATGAAGATTCCGGCGGCTCCAAGCATGGCCCATCGGCAGTGCACAAGCTCTGCCTGCACGAACCACTTCAGCGTCTCCGGGTCCGATCCTGCACATGTTCGCAGTACTGAGGAGGTCATTCATTTAATTTGGAGACCACTTTGTAGAAATATAACTGCGAAGAGTTTTGACACAGATTACTGCATTCACGGGATACTCTTAGAGCAAGCTGCTTACCCAAACCGAGGGGGTCGAAACCAAAGTCTCCGGGAAGGCTGCAGAATTGAAATCGAAAACGTGAGATTGCGCACGAGTGACATGTGATTGTTTAAGCATGTCCCATTTAGATTTTAAGAGATAAACCTGAAAAATGAGAACTGACTCTTGACGGCAGTTGTACTATGCCAATCATAGAAGATAACGAATTTGAATAGTTTAACCACAGAAATGTAACGTTCTCTACATGTAACAGAAAATTGGCACCTTCCATCAAGCCACTCTGGTGCTTGGCTGCCGGGAAACCACAACGGCCTCTCGTTCTGGGGAGCGGCAACAGCGGAGATTGTCATGTCACCATTGGTGTAGGCAGCTACCTTGGTCATGCGCAATGCCCGTCCTGAGAAGAACGAGGCCTTGGTAGAGGCGACATTGGTTTCGAACTTGCTGCGATAGGGCGAAAAGAGACGAAACTCTGTGTTAAAAGTCAAAGAACAATGCACCGCAGCCACAAACTTTGCAGCGGCACTCGAGAGATAAAAACATGAATACAAACAGGTACAGTATCAATTAACTCAGAACTGATGTGCAATCGTTGGAATCTGAAGTCGAAGGCATGTCGCAGCACACAGTAAACTATCGCGCAAGCCATGAAGCAATCGGTTCGCAACGTTCATTCCCACACACTGTGCGTTGAATCCCGTCAACAACAACAGAGTGAGAAAAGACCCAGCTGAGGCTAACTAACACAAACCTGGAGGAAGTGGCAGCGATGGACCCAACACAGGGCTTCGCACACACAGCAGACGCCATTGATGCAACGGCAACGAGGTCTCCTCCGCAGCTACAGAAACCTGGTTGGGGGGCATCGACTCTTGTTTCTTGAGTGAGAGATTGCAGTTCAGCTTAGCAACAAAAGAAGAATGCGAAGCTTGTGGATGAGACGGTGGCTGCTGCATTGGCTCCCGTTGCAGCTCCGTTCTATCTGCAACGCCCTCCCCTCGTTGGTTGCCCACGTCTCCTCCTGCCCAGGTCCAGGTCCCCGCCCTGCAGCGTTGCGTTGAGCACAAGATTTATCCCCACTTGCCCACAAGATTTATCCTCACTTGTCCACAAGTGGAAAAGTGCCCAATATTCTTTATTAGTAGTATATCTCCCAGTAAGTGTGGGTTTACTGTTTAATCAAGATTATTTCTTGTTCTCTCTTTGCTGTCCCCTTGTGTGTAGATTTGAGTTATTCTACAAGTCTTCCTTGTTCTTCTGTTCTTTTAGGAGAGTATTCTATCTGTTGTCAAGGTCTTTAAATTTCTTTCTTAACAACTCTCATTTTTTGTACAAGTTTTTTCAATTTTATTTTAGATTAGAATTTGTTAATTTAGTGGCTACTATGCATGTATGTGCTTCTAACCTATTGTTTAACCTCCTAGCCTATCCTCTAATGATTCTAATATTGAACTATTGTTGGTTTTCTTTTTTCTTTTTTTTTCAATTCCCTACCTTAAAGTTGATCCTTGCTTCTAATATACTGGATATTTTGAACAAACCAACTTAACAAAAATTTTGAGTTGGATATATATATATATATATATATATATACACAAATAAATATATATAAATAAAAATAAAATAAAACTAATATTACCATATATCTAATCTTTAAGTCTTTTAATAGCACATGATACTACTGAAGAATATTAAAATCTACATCACTATCAACATTTCATTTGGTTATGACATGCATTTTTTATAATATTAGTAGTGCAAAGTGGATTGCTACAAATTAATATATATATATATATATATATATCCAGTATTAAAATATTCTTTAAAATTTCCATGTGGTAATGTTAAATATATTAAAATTATTTTATAAGTTAAAAATGAGTTTTTGACTAAGACTATAAAAATATATATATATATATATAAGAGAATGTTAAATTGAACCAAGTTTTTACTAAATCGACCCACATATCTAGACCATGATTGCACCTCCCTCTCGTGCGTCCCTGTTCCCATCGTTCCCATCGTTCCCTACGTTCTCAACCCCCCCGTCCCGGCCTCTCCAACCCCGTCCCGGACTCCCCAACCCCGTCGCTTGTCCTGTCCAGACCCCGTCCTGAAGTGTGTAAGAGGTTGCATATTTGTGCTTTATTTTAGTGTGGAGCACGGAGCGGCGAAGTTCGCTGCCGTGCATATGGTTTTTGGGGCCAATAATGTAGCTAAGTTGCTGTTGCACATACCAGCGCCGCAACGCAACGATACGACAGACAAGGCATAGCATGTCCCACACGTTAAAAGAAGGAACTTGATTAAGTGTAGCAGTGGTGTATCCGGAAGTTCTTGAGAACTGTCGCTAAGTCTCTGCCTTACAGAATCCCAAAGGCGATTAACATCTCTCAAGTTACCAAGAGATAAATACCTGCACAATAAGCAACACTTTGTGAGAACCGAAGTGAAGGAATTACAGTAAAGAGTAATATAGGTGCTTAAGTGGAAGACTTACAACAAGACGGCCCTTGCAACCACCAAATCTGCTTCGCCAGGATAGCACTGCATCATTAGAAAACAACAATATAATGGTAATCGTGAAGAGTTCTTACAAAACGAGAGAGAAGACTTTCTACGAAATAGGTTTTATTACACAAAAGGGAAAGGGAAACTGGCACGAAGTGATCATTAAAGGCCACTTAAGCTCAGCGTTGGCGGTCGAGATTTTTAGATGATGATACTAACACCCAAAGGAGGAGCACGTACAAATAAAAAGAATTAGTTGCATGTAGCTACAGAAATACAACTCCTTGAGCACGTTAAAATGCTTCAAGGCATGTAAGCGATTAGTCAGGAATTGATGAGCAGTACCTTGTCCATACACTCAACCACTACTTTAGCGAATGTCTCAGGCTGATTCCCTCCCACAAAATGTTGTGATGCTTTCATCATTTCCTGCAGATACAATACCCAAATATCAAAAATAGAAATGCAATAAGCAAATTCAGCCTGGGAAAGCTGATTTCACATCATCACAGAGCTTCCATGAAGGCTAACTGCTTCCTATTAGAATCAACTGCTTCAGTATCCTTAAGCTGCTCTTCCATAGCATGCATGCTATTCAGCTTGCTGTGATACATATTAGCAAGGTCTGGGTTTTTTGCCATCCTCGCTATTACTACTCTCCTCTTGAATTTACTGAAAAAACGTATCACAGACGGATTTACAGAGATTTTTCTTCCAGGCTGTCATATGGCACAATCTCTCTCTTTCACACAGAAGTCATGCAATGCTAGGTCACTGAAGGATCAGGAACAACAAGGTACGTATAGAGCTAGCGCTGTTAAACACTGGAGCTCCTCATGAATGCAAGACTTCAGTAGGAATTGGCACATGCCCGAGCTTACTTCACCAAAACTTGTTTATTCGTGAGTCAAATTCTAGGTCGAAGCTGCCCGTCGCCCTACATTATGGTTCATTGATCAGCTGTGAGAAAATCTCCTCTGAAGGTTTGTTTCTCTTCCATGAGCAAGACCTTACGAATTCTGACCTTATCTTTTCCTACGCGATCGACTTGAGTGATACTCAAAATGAAGCTGCACGTCTACGTGTTAGAGGCTCGGAACCTAGCAGCTCGAGATCAAAATGGTCTGCGCGATCCTTTTGTACGCCTGCAACTAGGCAACACAAAGACAAAATGAGCTGTAATTCTTAGGAATCTGAATCCAGTATGGCACGAAGAGTTTTTTTTTCAGCGTAGTAGGCTCTGATGAGGACCTGCTTATCACGGTTTGGGACGAAGACCAGTTTTTAAATGACTTCTTGGGTCAGGTAAAAATTCCTGTTAGTGAGATTTTGACAGCCGAGAAGCAAACCATCCCCCCGTCACGGGGGACGGGACAGGGGGTCCGGGCGGGGAAACGATGGGAACGGGGTTGGAGAGGCCGGGACGGGGGGTTGAGAACGTAGGGAACGATGGGAACGGGGTTGGAGAGGCCGGGACGGGGGTTGAGAACGTAGGGAACGATGGGAACGGGGTTGGAGAGGCCAGGACGGGGGTTGAGAACGTAGGGAACGATGGGAACGGGGTTGGAGAGGCCGAGACGGGGGTTGAGAACGTAGGGAACGATGGGAACGGGGTTGGAGAGGCCGGGACGGGGGTTGAGAACGTAGGGAACGATGGGAACGGGGTTGGAGAGGCCGGGACGGGGGTTGAGAACGTAGGGAACGATGGGAACGGGGACGCAAGAGAGGGAGGTGCAATCATGGTCCAGATATGTGGGTCGATTTAGTAAAAAACCTGGGTCAATTTATCATTCCCCTATATATATGTGCATAAAATGTATGTTATTTTTAAATTATATTTTTATTCAATTACATACATGTATATTTATATATTTATACATATTTTGATTTATGTGTAAATAATGTATTGATTAATATATGCAACAATAATATGAATTTATTTTCATGATATAAATATTTTATTTATTATTTTTTAAGTAGTTAAAAGATCTTAGAAATTTATTCTTAAATACATATTGTGATTGAATCATAAAATATTTTTTTAATTAATTTATTTCAATATCGTTAAATTCTTATTTAATTTTTATATATTTTTGAAATATACATTTTTACTAATTATTTTTAGACTAATATTTTAAATTATAATTAAAAATATTATTCGAATAATATTTCTACTTATCAATTTTTTTGAAAAGGTCTTAAAAATATACTTGAACTTTTATAAAGCATAGATAAAAGAAATTTTATTTTTTGTCTCTTTATATTTATTCTTATTCTAGAGGTTATAAAGATTTTTTTTTTTTTTTTTTTTTTTTTTTTATTGAAATATAAAAATAAGAAAAAATTAAAAGTATTAATACAACATTTGTAACTATCTATAGTCTTTAAATAATTATTTTATAAAAGATAAGTGATAAAAATATATTTTTGTTTTTATACATAGTTTTAAAAAATATATTTAAAAAAAATATAGATTTTTTAATACAATGTCTTCTTTGATTTAACAATAATATATTTTTACTATTTCTTTACCTATATTTTTAATATGTTTATGTTTTTATATATACAACTAAAGTTTCTTTTAATGTTTTTGTATGATTAGAAAATATTTTTTGTATATTCTCAAATATCATCAAGAAGATCTTAGTTGTACAAGATTAAAAAATACAATGAATTAGGGAAAAAAAAAGAAAACACTCTGTTAGATTTATAATTAAATAAGTAGCATTAAGATTATACATAGCTTATAATATTTATTACTATAATAACTATATTTAAAAATATTTGGATTAAATGTAGATTTAAAGATTTTAAATATATAAGAAAATAATATAAATACTTCCATATATATTGTACAAATTAAGAATTTCCATAATAATTTATAAAATAATCTTTTAGTTAAATTTTTATAATAATTAAAACTAAAAATAATTAAATAGTTAGTCTAAGAATAAGTGGATATTTTAGAGACATTATTTTCCATCTTAGTCAATTATATATTGTTAGAGTACTATTAGAAATGCATGCCATTAGATATAGAAAGAATGTAAAGTATTTAATTTGTGGTTGCCAAGTTACATGTTAATAACATACATGTGTAATATATTTTTATGCTGGTGTTTTGTACCAAGCTAATTAAAAATCAGATAAAGTAAACTACAATTAGAAATATATATATATATATATATATATATATATATTAGAAACAAAAGGTATATACAACTTTGCTATTAAATTATATATTTATGTATATATATATATATATGCATAATATTTCAATCACATTTAGGTTAAATTTAGATTTAGACCAATTATTTATGACATAAGTGCTTTTTTTTATTGCCTTGAGTGAATCATTTTTGGAATATATCTAATAGTTAGACATATTGTTATGATTCTAGTGGAAACTAGTCAAGTTTAATTTAAATAGGCTTTGATTAATTTTTTTGTTTGATTGCCATGTCACAAATTAACATCTTTTAAAGAAATTTTAAATTCAAAAAGTAAAATTTAAAATAAAATATGCATAATAATAGAATCATTTACATTTCTTTTATAATATTGATGATGATTTTTTTATTTATTATAATAACTAAAATAGGATAAAAGATCTCAATTTTTTTAAAAATAGTACATTGCAAAAGAATAACATATAATTGTTTATGTATAGATACAAAGATTCCAAGATCTATTCCTATATTTTTTTAATAATTTCTTAATTTTTTTAATTCTTATTGTAAATGTAATTTTTATTAGAAATTATCTTTGATTAAAATTGAATGAAATTTATAAAAATATTAGGCATATTAAAAATCCTTAGAAAAAAAGCCAATTAATTCTTGTGATTTTTAATTAAGAATCTTACTTCTTCAACTTCATCAATCAATTGTAAAATGACTAAGTAACATCTATTGCAAAGTCTTCAATACTAAACAATGTTTTGTAAGATTATAATAGAACATCCAAACTTTAGCTCCAAGTTAAATGGTAGCAATTCAAATAGACTTAAATTATTTAGATACTTAGTTGGATAAATTTTTTTATTATTAAGACCATCTTCTATCACAACTGTATTCATACTAAGATGAATACTTAAAACTTTAGAAAATCTTATGACAATATGCAAGTTTAGATTATTAAAATTATTGTTTTGTACAAATAAAATTGAATTATTGATTAGATATTCATTTCTACTTTTCTTGTCTTTGTCCAATCTTGAGTAGATAGCTTAAATGAAAGATTCTAATATTAAATCTACTTTCATATTTTTTTGGAAGATTCATTGTATTTATTTGATAGATTAAAAAAAATCTGTTTTTAATCTACAAATATAAGAAATAATAAAGGTGAATGGTAAATAAAAACTCTTCAAAAGTATATTAATAATACTATCAAAAGCAAAGGTCTTCTTTAAAAATCAATACTATATTAAGGCATATTATAGAATATCAATAATACTCTAGTCTAAGAACAAAACATAGAATAAAAGAAATGGCCTCCTTCAAAAATCATTAGAATGCAAAGGCATTCTCTAAAATATTGATCATGCTCTTAGTCTTGAAAGAAAATAAAAAATAAATAAAATAAAAAAATAAAATATCCCTCTAAAAAAATCAAGAGCATACTAAAGTAATATTTTAAATATAAATCATGCTTCCAATTCCATGGCAAAAGACACAATAAAACAAAAAGCTTCTATTAATAATCAAAATGTTCAAATACTTTGTAGATCATGAATTATAAATGTACAAATTATTGATACATTTTAAATTTGAAAATCCAAAAAAATAAAAGAGGTGAGTACTTAATTTTTTTTAACAATATGTTACAAGTAATTTTAGAAGTAAGCTCTTCTTCCTCGTTTTGAAAAATCAATAATATGTTAAAGCACTTTATAAAGCTTTAGAAAAAAATACAAAATAAAAGCAAAGGTTTCTTTGAAAAATCAATAGGATATAAAGACACTATTTGGAACATGAATCATATTCATAGCCTTAGAAAAAAATAAAAATAAAAATAATAATCTAAGTTAATTAAAGAAGCTTTCAACCTTAAAAAAAAATAGACAATAAAATAAAATTTTTCTTTAAAAAATCAATACCATGATGAAGCAAATTAAAAGATCTCTTAGTTTCAAAATAAAATAAAAAATAAAAAATAAGGCTCTTTTTAAAAATTAACAACATAGTAAAAATTTGAAGAAGCTTTTGGTTCTAGGATGTTAATGAAAGATGTATGCAAGCACAAAGTAATAGAAATTATTGTTGTAAGAATGCATACCATGGAATTCTAAAAACTTGGTCTTTCTTTCCAAAAGAATCATAAATAATACATATAAAAATTATCTTAAAATAATAATCTATAAAAAATATATTTTTTTATTTTATTTTATTTAATTAAAATAAATAAAAATAGTGCATCATGAAAAATTACTAAAAACATATTAAGAATGTTATATACATATTTTAAAGAGCTATTCAATAAATAATTAGGCTTCTTCAAATTCATTTCTAAATGCATATTTTTATAAATTTATAAACTTTAATATGAGACCAAATCTTTAATTGTTGTAAAGAAGCATAAAAAATCTATTCTCTTGAGCCTTTTATGACATTCTATAGAACCTCTAAAATGTGTTGATTTTATACATTACATATTTTAACTTACAAGGTAATTTTTCTATATAGGTGCCATATAATTAGCTTGTTCCACAAGCTACCAACATGTGTGGCAAGTAGTTAACTTATTGACTAAGTTTCTAACCTACCAATCAACTATAAACACATGTAAAGTCAAAATAACATCTATAAAGCTTCTAAGAAGCTTTTTTAGAAGATATTATGAAATTAATCTAATTTTATTTATTTCTATTTATTTATATTATTTACATAATAATTAAAATAAATATATATATCTATGACATCAATCTCTTTTTTAGAGACAAGTTCCACAAGTAGTGGTAATCACATATTGAAGAAGTTTAAAATACAGAAAATTATATTTTCCACATACTCTAATCTTTTTTTCCTTTGAAGGTTGTGATAATTGGAATGTCTCATCTCATAAGTCAATAAATAATGGTCCTTTAGTTGAATTTGCTAGCTCTTGATTTTCCATTTTTTTTACGCTATAATTATATATAAACTATAAATAAGTATAGAAAGTAGAATGTAACCTTGTTAAATTGTGTTTCTTTTATAGCAAAGATTTGCTATTATTTATTTTAGTTTTGATGGATGTTGTTGATGAAAAGCTTTTACCTTCTTTGCTCCATTTGTAAGATTTTTTGCTGACTTTTATGTACATTTGCTAATATTGTATCTGTGCCAATGAATAAGATATTCCAACTTATATTGATGTTGCCTTAAGTTTAAGGCTTCTTCTACCTTAAATTCTTTATTATTATCCACTGTTATTGAAACAAGACTAAACTATCTCAAAAATCCAAGTTTCTTCTAATGCACAACAACATAAAGCCTCATGACAAAATATGATAAAAAAAACTAGAAAAAAACTAAATGAAACTAAACAAAATAGGACATGAAAGACAAAATTGAGTATACAAAAACATAACAAAACATATATGAACAAAAAGATGCAAAACCAAACTTTACTAAGAAAAATGATCCGAAGCCATACCTGAGCAGATGCTCCAAAAGACCCTGTCCAATCCTACTTATACCTTGTCCTACCACCTTAGACTTTCTAAAATGTTCTTAGGTGGTGGATTCTATGTAAATAATTGCCATAAATTCATTTTAGAATA